TATAAGCCTTCATACTTTGTAGCACCCAAGACTAGAAGACAGGAGAGATGAGCATGCGCGTTAAAGGGGAAGTATTGAATCGGAAGAATAAGAGAGTTGGTGAAGATACAAATTGGGAGCATGTATGCCAGAACAGTAGACGAGAATCCTATCCTACAGAAGTGGCGGAAGATTCGCGAAGAGATTTTGATAAGTGTCAAAAAAGAGCATCGGCGGACTTGGCAGGTGAATCCTGCGTCCTCGCGAAAAGACTTGGAAACGTACCGATCGGGAGAACCGGTGGAGCGAGCGGACAAAGCTCGGCTTTCGTTTGCTCCCCTGTTCCCCACTTGGGCGGAGCCAGCGAATTCGATAGGCATCTCACCCTTTTCGTGGTGAGGAGGCATTCGCCTGCTCAGTTCTCACGCTCCCAATCAATACGTATCAAAACATATTCGTGGATGAGCCAATTTTGGCAATGTCCCACCTTCAAAAAACCTAACGAACGGAGTTGATTAATACTTATTCGCCGCTTTGGAGAGCATTCTCCCGTACAGTCAAACTGACGACTCCCCTATTGTATAGGCGCAGTATAACTCTCTCCACTTGGATGTTAGATGGAATAGGGAAATCATCTCAAGAACCAGAGCAGCTAGAGCCGAAGATTCCATATTTGCTACGCCATGCTTGCTATTATTGTTCACAACCGATACAACTGTGAGCAGCGCGCATATTGGCAAGATATAGTATATGTGTTACCATTGAGAACAAACGTTAAACCAACCTTCATAATCGCTTGGAATGGCAACATCAGTTCCGAACCCTTGATCACAATATTTGGGAAATCGAGAAGATGAACCTGAAATGAAGATCAGACATGAACGAAGAACTGCTTCTCGACTGCAACCCTCAAGTTATTTACTGACCTCGAGAGGATCCAGCATAGCTTTTCGAGTTACAATAATTTGACGTGGTTGCTCCTCCACCGGTAAAGATCTGATCAGAGCAGCAACTTCTTCTGCAGTTTTCCACTTGGCGAGCTAAAAAGGTTTTTGATATCGAAGAAAATGATATTGAAGATCGAATGCATGATGGAAATCACAACTGAATAAAGAAACGGTGAAGTGTAGAAATTCAAGACCTGACTCAGACGTTTCTGGCCTGCCCAAACCGAAGTGTGAATAATCTTCAAGAACAATTGCCCAGTACGGGGGTTGAAGATGAAAATGGCACCATTAATTGGTTTCGTTGTCAAATTACCTTCGAATGTTTTGTGAATGGTTACACGATACACATTTGTATCATCCACGAACCTAAAGCAAACAACTTTTACTATATTTTTAAGCTATCAAAAAGAGTACCACTTAGTTAACAATACACCTACCAAATGATCTGATTTGAGAACAACTCTCCATAGTTCTGACTGGTAAGATACGGTTCTGTTGGCTCTGAACTATACAGCTGCAGTCCTTTTCGAATACGCTCACGCAATACGTAGAAGGCCGGATTGGCCTTGATGATCTTTGCCATAGCTTGTCGAATCAGCGGTTTCATCCCAGGGAACCAATTACCGTACGCACTAAATTAAGTCGCAATCTATCCCAACGCACTGCCAAGGTACCTATTTGAGCAGCAAATTTTACCTGTACAAGTTGTACGCGAGATCCATTGCAATGAGTAGACCCGTTGGAGATGGATAAATGGACATGTTGTCCGTGGTGTAATCGAGGAATTTAGCCCTAAAATGTTCTCAGAAATAGTTTGCAACTATTAAGTTGCTACTTTCTCATCAACTGATCAACCTTGCATATCGTTCGATATCATGGGAGTCGTAATCTCCCCAACGAAGCTGCACATCAATCCAGTACTTCTGCGTTGTTGTACTGTCCATCACATCTCTGAAAAATAAACGATTTAGCATCGAGACTGCATAACAACAGCAAAAAAAATTCCTGCATGTCGTTTCGTAGAGCTGCATTCAGAAAAGAAACATACTTGCTATCAGCCATCAACGATGGGCGCGAAACATTCCACTTGTATTGCGCAAATAATTGGATGTCAGCACAAGAGCTGTTCATTTTGTATGACTTTCTTGGATGAATAGTTTCTTTCTGCACAGTTTGAATCTCGAGTGCATCCAGTTCTTGATCGAAAACCTGGAATAACGCGCAGTCGACCACGTGAAAAAACAAGAACAAATTGAAGATTTTTTTGTCGCATCATTTTTATCATTAGGAAAAGGCACAAAATTACCTGGCACAAATCCATAACTACAGACTCATGGATTTTCTGCCACAAGTGAGCACGGAAAATTTGTATAAGAGAAATCTTCAGCGTTGGAATCTTTCCATGCATGAAAATGCCAGTAAGATCCAGTTGCACTTGGAAACCAACGTATACCTGAATAGCACATGTATTGGAGCAAGTTCTACAATTCCTGTTTATAGAACTCATGTTTTTCACTCTGAACTCACATTTGCTCGGTTAATTGTGGGCGACCACCACAATGTGAAACGACGATTAGGAATCTGATTCAGACCGGACCGCTGAGCATTGGTTAGTTTTTTGAACTTCATCGACTCCTCGAAACCAGATGCTCGTTCCCAGAACAAACCTTCCCATGTTGGGAAGTAGGTACCCTAAACAGCTTGCTTTCTGATAACTGGACCGATAACAACACCTCAAAAGGCACAACAACTCATACTGAATCGATAACAAAATAAATCTGACGCTAAAAACCAACCCTAAACAGAGTGTGTTCCAGAATTCCTTCGACGCCACCTAGAGCTTGGATCATGTCAGTACGGTAGTTGTTCAAATTCCAAAGTTTTCCGTCGTGTCGCTGGTGAGTCCACCAGAAAAGATTTTGCTTCAAAATCTGGAAACAGCCGTTACTACACCAACACACTTATACATGTTCTCTTGCAATAAAGAGCGTCTTGACTTTAACAACAGAGCAAAGACGATCCTTATGAAATGATTCCATGGTTTCTCATTGCTCAGCTTCGTTGTCAAATCATGTGACTGCTATTGATGTCGCATGCTTACCTGGTACGCTTTGAACTCGGTCCTCACACGCCATCCCTTATCGTAAGCGAGAGTATGCCTATCCTTTTGGAACAGAGTATTGATACGTGGAATACCACGATCCCATGAATCGTCGAGATCCTCCAATGTCAGACGACGATTTTGAGCGTTTGCTTCTTGACGCTTTAGAGCGTATTCGGCCCACACACGTTGCGAGTCGATAAACTCAGCTTCCCATGGCTTGAAGGTGAAAAGATAAGACTCTTTTTCAATAGTACTTCTCCTTCCCTTAAAGACACATGGTACGCTCACACACATTGAGGGTGTATGTGACTATCAGCCCCCCAGCTGTCGATGTGTCGTGGTTTCCCCGCCCGAAACTGCACGGGGTTAGAGTACAGGGCCGTGGGAAAGTCTAATTCGTCCATGCTCCGCCCAAAATGCAACTTGCGGCGCAGACTCCCTTTATGCTAACAGCCGGCACGTGTCGCGCGCAGCTCTCTTGGCTTTTTGCCAAGTCCTGTAATTGCGCTTTGGAATACAAGTAAAACGCAATTTCCTGATGCGGATAACATTTTAGGTGCTGCAAAATAAGAACCGAAGATGATGACGAGGGCCAGAACTCAAGAGCAACTGTGCTGCTCCTGCAATATCCCTCGGAGGCCGCGCAAACGGTCTAAGCGTCCCACTTGTTAGTTAAAATACTTCTACGGCTTTGGAGCCGAATTCGCGCCGGATCGCAGAAATTTACACGCGATTTCAATTAATTTGCGTTTCCTTAATTTTTCATTTTTGTTTTATTTACATCTACATTCGTTGTTCTTCATTTCTAGCCTTTGTCATCTTCATCACCTTCTATTCGGACTTTGAAGCATGAGCAACACCTCAAATGTTATTCGCATCAGGAAATTGCGTTTTGCTTGTATTAAACTAACGAGTGGAACGCTTAGGCCGTTTTTATTGTCATGTTCTGTGGGAATGCGCGGCCTCTGAGGGATATTGCAGAAGCAGCACAGTTGCTCTTGAGTTCTAGCCCTCGTCATCATCTTCGGTTCTTATTTTGCAAAATGTTATCCGCATCAGGAAATTGCGTTTTACTTGTATTCCAAAGCGCAATTACAGGACTTGGCAAAAAGCCAAGAGAGCTGCGCGCGACACGCGCCGCGCGGAACGGCTGTTAGCATAAACGGTAGGCGGAGCATGGACGAATTAGACTTTCCCACGGCCCTGTACTCTAACCCCGTGCAGTTTCGGGCGGGGAAACCACGACACATCGACAGCTGGGGGGCTGATAGTCACATACACCCTCAATGTATGTGAGCGCACCATGCGTCTTTAATCAAGAGTGCGCGGCTCCAACCTGGATGTATCGGTACAGGTTTGGAATCAGTTGGTCTTCATCGTGGGTCATTCCAGACCGGAAATGGGTGATGCCACCAACATCAGTCTGCTGCATCCAGCGCAAATCACTTTGAGGAATCAACACGTGACCCATCGAGAGCATACCTAGGCGGTTAGCATTTTAAAAAGGAAGACCATAACGAACCATTTAAAAAAAGACTACCTAAGCCGCCAATTTCTTTAGGAGTGTAGAACACAACCGGTGGGAATCTTGCTGGCATCTTGGAGTTGAGACCGATCTTAATTCTAGTCTGGATCTTATTCTCGCATTTCACTAAAAGATCCAACAGCTCCTGAGTATTGACCACAGCTTCTCTGAAAAATATGCGATGACTAGCAGAAGCTGGCACAAAACGAATCCTCACCTGTAGTAGGTCATTAGACCAATGAGAGCAGTGTTCCATTTATTGACAATCTTCGTGAAAGTCGTGGAACCAGATGACATAAGAATTTGTCTGATTCTGTTGTGGAACTTTGACATAGACTCCTCATCGACTTTCAGGAAGCACTGGGCTGTACGCTCCTTTGTGACCTCAAGAAGAGACATGTACTTAGCTAGTTTGGCATTTCTTTCCAAATCACGAAAGATCTACAGACTAATCAGCGTCTTTACTTGAACTGCTCAAGTTGGAAAAGTTCGTTGGAGAAAACAATAAACATACTTCATTCTGCAGATTCCATACTCCATCTCTGTGAGTAATCTCTTCGGCTGTTGTGCGGCATTTCGGCAAGATACGACATTCGAATCCAGCCATGTCAAAGAGCAAATTTGGATTATCCTTGCTGTACACGGATACAAACGCATTTTCCCACTCAATCGTAGTTACTGATCGAGGCAGACGATTCTAAAGTGATATACTGCAAGCAAATCAACACAGGGAAACGCCTTTTAAAACGCACTTTTATATCCCAGAAAACAGCTCTGCCTAAGTTTACGTCATGCTTCATCAAACGCATTCGTGCATCTCGTGGCCAACACTTCTTATTGTTGTACCCGACAATATTCTCATTATTAGGATCTGGATGTTCAGTCAGATACCTCTGAATAAGATCACGCGCTTCGTCAGCCGTGAACCTGAAACGAAAAGAATTACTTCCGCTTATAAAATCACAATGACATTACTAACATTACCTAAACATTATCCAGATTCTGTCGATATATCGACAATAAAGACGAATTGGATGTACTGTTTCCGTTGCAATATCCTAAACATAGCAGTTCGACATAACGATGAAACGAGAGGCCAAGGGTGTGCTCCACAACCGACGTATGTTTGCAAACAAACCTGGAAGGTGAGGAACTCATTGGGGCACTGTGGTGGACCTGCAATTTCTGAAGCGCGGCGAAGACCAAGAATGAGGAGATCCAAAACCAGGCCGTAGTACTGAAATGATCCACACAATAAAAAAGCAAAGCTCAAAATCATTGGTAACACTAGGAGTAGTTCACTCGGCTTCTTTTAGAAGCAATTACGTATTGACAAAATCAAATACCTGTACAATAAACGACGCGAACTGCAGACCACGAATGATTCCAAAGGAATTTGTATGGTTCATGTCTTTGTAGTTGATCAAAACGTTATTCTTCGAAGACATATAGTCGGCAATGTTGTGATCCACGATCAACCTTTAACATCATTTTTCTGAGGAATAAGAGTCAATTTCAAAGCCTCTCCTTTAAGGAACCTCAGTAATCTGTTCAAAAGCGTAAGGTCCATTTTCTCTGCAACTTTCTCTAGCTTTGCCTCCATCATTACGTTACACTCGCCTTAAAACGATGTTTTAAATAAAACCTTCACTGATGCTAACATTACTAACACTTTTCATTCCCTACTACTAACCTTCTCCAGTTTCCCATACATCCTGCAGATTGTTGATTCCTTGGCACCACTTGTAAACCAACAATGGAGGAGGTTCCGTATCACCTGGTTTCACCCATGAAGGGAACAGTCTAAAAGAACATATACAAAGTTGTTTTATCAGTAAGCATAACGTATCATTAGCTTTCCACGGCAGTCAAGTTGGTCTTAGACGTCTGCACGTCGCGCCATCGCCGTGCAAACGCCGCCCATAGGCAAAGTGTCTTGTTCGCTGTTTCAGAAAAATGTGCCACTAGTGCTGCTCGAAAATGCGTGATAAGGACGCTACTCGCTTCTAGCGAACACACTGCCCATCCACTGAACCGCAGTGCGCCCAAAATTCATTTCTGACTGCTATCTAATGGCGCATTTGTTACACTACTACCTCTTTCCATTTACCATGTTGAACGTGTGAGTGCTTCAAGACTTTGGCATAAAAGCCGTCAAGCTGATAGGATATGCGTACCGGCCCTCTAGCACTCGCCAGCGTCCACTAACTTCCGGAAGAGAAGTGTATGGCGCGATAAGAGGGTAGCAGAGCTGGTACCCTCCTATCGCGCCATACTCTCTACTAGCAAACTGCCACCCTACTATCTCTCCACACTCTACCAGCTGTCTGCTACCGTTCTACCGTGACATACTCACCTCTCCCGGATGTTAATAGACGCTAGATTGATATCTATACTCCCTAGGCTAGCACACGCACCGGACGCTCGAAACGTTAGTAGGCTCTGGTGGAAGATGCCGCGGAGTATGAACGCAGCCAAAGAGCGGCCTTATGGAGTAACGGATAGCGCACTCGCCCGGAAAGCGTGAGGTGCGGGTTCTGGTCTTGCCTCATGCTCGAAGAAGTACGCACGTCAAGGTCCTATCTAGCATTCCGGAAAGTTTTTTCTATGCTCTGCGTCAGTTACTACCTTCTCATTCATACTAGAGCATTTATATCCAGCATACTTGATCGCAGAGAGTGATGTCAAGCTCATTAGCGACTACCTCTCAATGTATACATATCAAAAATTATTATCGTTAATTATACTTCTGTTTTTCTACTTGGGCCATTTCGTGCGTGGACGGTGTGCTGTTGTCAGGCAACTCTAAGAGAGCCACATGTAATCAAACCAACTGAAACATTAGGAAATAGAGGCTCAACCAGACACCAGGCAAACTTTGAATAACTAATGCAGGTAGGACGAGTGAGTTGGAGCATAGATATCCATCCTGTCTCTGTGAACCATGGAAATGTGACCACAAACACTTCTTACCCTTGCAGCACCAAGCATTTTTACAAGAGGAACCGTTGAGGACGATCAGTACCTTCTCTTGTCAGCCTCATACCAGAGATATTGGTCGAGATACGCATCTGTCACCTTTTCCAATGGCTCAATGTCATATACAGGAATCAGGTGAGTGTACAAATCCATAAATTCGATTCCGACTTCCTAAAACAGACCCTGTACAACACTAACCATGCATGAGCTTCCAGCTCGAAAAAAATGACCTTGAACGCCCTCTGCGTGAGCATATGACGCTTGATACGAGACAGAGCCTCATGAGGATTGTCGTAGGCCTGTTCAATCAGAGCCAACTCTTCTCTTTGCGACTGGTTAAGACGATTTTTCACACTATATGCCTCCTTGAGACGTTCGAGCGCCTGAAACAAGCTCACGCCTTCCTCATATTCTGGGAAAGGACATGAATCGTGCTTACCAGAATAAGGAGTTTCGTGTCGTGTTTGTATGACAGCGGTGGGAATGGAATAGGAGAGAATCGCCTCGACTCTAGCCAATGCACAGTTGTTGTATAAATGGCCACCGCTTCTTCAGCAGAAATATATGGTCCATCTTTCAGGTAGTTGTGCTGACGCTCTTGCTCCGCCTAAATCAACATTTGTACGTCTTACACTTAAAAAAAGAAAAATAAAAAAGATGCTTTCCAACAAGTACTTTCAAATACAGCCGAGTAAGTCTTCCCAGATTCTTCTTGCACACAGTTTTGTCTACAGTGGCACCTCGACGAACACGCTCCCTGTTATAGTGAGCTGAATTTGTCCACCAATCGGCTTTGGCTTTTACATAACGGAGAATCATATTCTCCACGGGAGTCGGCAAACCAGGGACCTTAGAGAAGAAGCATTTAAAACGTAAAGTATTCAATGGATTAAACTGACGCACCTTCCACGGAATGTTCGCCTTCCAACAACGCCATGCCTCACTGAGATGCTGCAGAATTACACGGGCCTTATTCTGCTTGATACCCTCAGGCATCATATCCAGAATATCATGCATCACAGCAGCTCTGAAACGTTCAATGAATAGGAGGACATGACCTTGAAAAAGGAAACTGGCTCACCTCAGCTCCAGATCGAAATGGGATTCCACTCGTTGCTTAGTGACAGTCTTTGCAACACCTTTTGAATGTCGACCCTCGAATTGCCTCGACAACAGATTTCCTAGCCATCTCTCCAGCAGAGGTGTTATTCCTCTCAAGAAGAACAGCCAGACTCGCCACCCGGGGGCCCAGAAACCGCATCCGGGACCCTTGCCTATAACGAATAAAGGGTGAGTTCGCTAAAGCACATTATGATACATTGAAATGAGCATTTCCGAGTAATTAAGAGGCTAGGTGTATTTATAAGAGACAATATACATATTAGGGTGTCCACAAAGTTCGTTGGCCATTCGTTTTTTGCAGAGCTTATGAAGATAACTCACCAAGTTGAACTTACCGGTCCATGATATAATCTCCATGCATACCCACCACCTTTCGCCAACGATCGGGTAGAGAGGCAACTCCATCCTCCCAAAAGCCGGCCGCCGCGACTCGGCCCAGTCCTCGATCACGTCCTCGAGGTCGCGCTCGTTCTTCAGCTGTTTTCCGTCCAAGAAATTTTGCATGGACCGGAAGATGTGGTAATCGCATGGACTAATGTCCGGGCTATACGGTGGATGCGTGATCGTCTTGATGCCCAGCCTGTCCAGGACGGCCTGAGTATCTCTCGCTTTGTGGGGGCGCGCGTTGTCCCAGAGCAACCACGGATTTGCAAGTTTCTGGGACAAGGCGGCAGCTTTCACCTTGACCTCCTGCAATTCTTTAGAGAGGGTCTCTGCCGTCACTGTGGCATTGTTGGGTAGGGTGCTATAGTGGACGACGCCGTGACGAGAGAACCAGAAACCTCGGCATATCTTCGATGCCATAGTTTCCATTGGTGAAGCGAGTCCCCATTTTGACATCCAGTTCTTAGAAGGGGTGTTATCACCAAACTGCTGACGCATCCTGGTCGTGGCCTGACGTCTGGAGATGTCCAGATTGTAGTAGTCCAGCAACTATCACTCATCTTCACTGCTTTATTGTGGAAAGATCAGGAAAGGAAATTTAGAGCTAGCTAGCTCAGAAGATAGCCCATCGCGAGTACTTTCAGTATTGCGAAATCATTATGCAAAATCACAACGCGTTGCGTAACGCGACGCTGTTTACAAATGGCCAACGAACTTTGTGGACACCCTAATAAAAGGGCTTCAGTTGGAGAAAAAAGCGTGTAAAAAATTACCGACAGCTCCTGTGTTGAAGCGGTAATAAATGATGTGCTTTAGATCCTTACACATTCGTACCTGTAAAAGAACATTCGTTTCAAGACACCTCATGGACACATAAGCTGCACAGTACCTGTCTCATCAGTTTGTATTTGTATCGGTACATTCCGGTCAATTGGCCAACATGCGCAAAGATATACTGCAGGCCGTCAGCAAGTTGGTAAGCGTCAACGTTGTTGAGTCTTGAAAAGGGAATTTCCAAAACTCAATAATTTTGATAAAATTGTTTAAGCAGTGCTAGAGAATACAATACCTGTACTGTACATGCGCATCAACCACAAGTTTCGCGAGACGCAGAATCTCACGACACAAGTGGAAAGCGTTACCGAATCGTGATTTCTTACGCTCCTTGGTCGTTAGAGTTTTCACCGGCTAAAACTGAGCAAGTTGAAGTGAGGTATTAGGTTGTCCGGAAAGTTTTCACCTATTTTTTTGTACATTCACTGCTGATTAAAAACTCATTCTGCCTTGCTTCTCAGTAGCACATCCTGTAGAGAATTTCTTGCGCTATCTGATGGTATAATTGCCGTTTCACCATTGCTTGATAAACCCCCTTTTTTCAAGATTTTTTCAAGCATGTGAAAAGAGCACTTCGGACGATTTTTTTCTTCGACTATAAATTGGGGCAATCCGCAATCGAAACAGCTCAACAAATTAACCAGGTGTGGGGGCCCAATAGTGCTAGAGAAAGCACTGTGCGGCAATGGCTCAACAAATTTCGTTCTGGAGATTTCAGCCTTGAAGATGAACCTCATAGCGGTCGACCTAAAGCAATATCTGACGAGGATTTTAGGGGGATTTTGGAGGCTGACCCATCCCAAACAGTTCGAGAGATAGCAGAAGAGCTAGGCCTTGGCAAATCCACTGTTGCAGATGGTCTGGAACGCATTGGGAAGGTGAAAAAACTCGACAATTGGGTGCCCCACAATCGGAGTGACCGGCAGGAATCGGCACGTCTCGAGGTTCCTTCTGCATTGCTTTTGCGCAGCAGAAACGACCTGTTTTTGGGCCGAATTGTCACCTGTGATGAAAAATGGGTCATGTATGATAACAGGAGACGTTCCGGACAGTGGTTGGATTTCGACGAACCACCGAGGTAATTTTCAAAGCCGAACCCTCACGAAAAAAAGATTCTGGTCACGGCTTGGTGGTCATCGGCTGGTGTGATCCACTATAACTTTTTATCACCAGGCCAAACCATCACAGCAGAACCCTACTGTGAAGAAATCGACGAATGTACCGAAAATTTTGTCAGCTGCAGCCAACACTTATCAAAAGAAAGGGTCCGATTCTTTTGCATGACAACGCCCGCCCACACGTTTCACAAATCACTATCCATAAATTGAACGAATTGGGGGTTGAAGTTCTACCTCAACCGCCATATTCTTCAGACCTTTCGCCAACCGACTATCACCTTTTCAACATTTTCAGAACTCCCTTGCTGGAAAATACTTCATCAATCAGGACCAGGCAAAAAAGCCTTAGTGGATTTCGTGAATTTTCGACCACCCAGTTTTTTACTTTGATGGGATTTCTCGACTGCATTGGCAAAAGTGTGCTGATTCGAATGGTGCCTATTTCGATTAAATCCGATGAGTATTAAAAAAGTTACGATCGTTTAAAGTGAAACACCCAAAACGCTGAGAACTTTCCGGACAACCTAATACTAAACAAGGCACAAGAAATGTTACCTTCAAGTTGAAGTTGTAATCCAGATGAAGATAGTTGAGATTCTTACGATGGATAAGCAAGTTCAGCATGTTGTAGCCTTGTCGCAAGACCTGGGAACAAAGACAACATTTAGCGAAAGGCAAACTTGAGAACTGCGCGTCACGCAAATGAACACACCTGCAATCCTGCTTCGACCCAGTCCAGAGTGGTGGTTTGGAAGAACTTTGTAGACTTGAACGAACGGAACAAGTATCTGAAAGGAAAACATATTTCTCATTTTTTAAAATTGGTCAACCTTTAGGTCACCAAAACCTGGCGATTTTCAGAATTTCAATTATCCTCTGCATCTGCATCGTATGCATTTCAGAAGCAGAGTTCAACAGAAGGAGGGCCACACCTTTGCAGATCACGTCCAGCACACACTTCATTAACATTGTATTTAGACGGTAAGATGACGATTTAATATGGATCCTTTTGCTCAGTGTTTCTCCACATGCCGCGCATTGTCATAAAAAATCACTAACGAGAAAGGATAAAGGTATTGGTCAAGTTGGGCGCAATGTAAGCTGAGAGATAGAATCTCAGCAACCACATGCTGGTGGAAGACATTGGACGTACTTTGACAGACTGGGGAAGTGCAGCCTTTGAGCTGTTAGCATGTTTTGCGGAAAAAGATGTCCGGAGAAATTTCCTTGATATTCAGCCTATAAGTTCAACTTCGAATTCCCCCAACAGAACAAGGGTGGCAGCTGTAGTAAGATTCCCGTTTAGCCCATCTCAGCTTCGCTCCAGATAGATACTAAACAAGATGGTCCCCTACGCTTTTCTGAACATATCTTTCCTAGATTATGTAGGCGGGTTGCTCGCTGAATTCCAGCTCATCGACGTTTCCAAGTCACAGTTTAGAGTCCACAGAATGATTCAATCGCTCAGCATTTATTGCAGCGGTACTAGAAGTAACATACCTTCGCTTCTGTGGCTTCGGAGGACGATGTTTAAGCGCATTCAATACGAATACCTTCAACAACTTTTGGTAAGATACACGTACTTTTACGGGCATTCCTAAAGTTTTGATTATCACCGTGCTAAATATAACTGAGAAAATGTTTCGCAAGAGTACCTGCAGGGCAATGCTCGCGATACCAACTCTTCACTAGGGGAACGTCAATAGTTCTTCGTGTACGCCCAGAACGAATGTTGAACGGACGAGGTGCCCAGAGTAGTGCTATGCCATTACCAGTGTTGTCAGTATACAGGGGAACCTGCAACGTAAGCAAAATGTTATGCATATATTTCAAATCCCATTTTCATGAAACTATACCTCCTCGAAAATAGGGACCACATCTTCGGGAAGTTCAAACTCGTTCATTTCGTCATCGTCTGGGAGGTTTTCTACTGTCTGTAAAGGAAGAATTTTATGCTTGAATTATTAATTAACAGAGGTCAAGTGTGACGTCAAAATCTAGGCTGGGATCAAACATTTCGACAGAGACAAAAGCTCGCTGTCCAAGCAGACGCATGAGAGCAGCTACTGAGTTGTAAGCTTTGACTCCTTTCCCAACCACGCCTATCGACGTATTTGCTTTAGCGCAATCATTCAGGGAAATGCCAAACCTTCAGGCAACACCCAACATATTTGCGCGTTTTCTTGACAAGTCTCTACTACCTTTTCCAACCCGCTTATGGCGATCGGATTGATCAGAGGGTCAAAGTAGAATGCCGGAAGGTCAGGATCTTCAGTCTTGATGTACACTACGGACGGAGTATGGTACCTGAATAGTTGCAACTGAATAAGAACTTCAGAAAGAACAGTAATCATTAGGACCTTACCATGAAACCTGGACCGGCAGTGCGTTAACGAGGTTGTTGTACATGTAGGGAAAAGCAATACGGTACTCCGTTCGGATTGGTGCTCTGATTATCACTTTGTTGATGTCATTGAACTCATTCCAGTCCTCATCCCTGAATTTCGCATGATGAATCACCGAATTACTCCAGAGCGAAGTCAAATCATATAAAGCGGCAAAAGCTAACAGAAACGTACAGATTAATATCCTTGATAAGAGGCTCGAATTTAGGTCCACCAGGAATCGCCACGTTCAGAGCTTTAGCAGTGAAGAAGGACTTCAGATCAAATAAATAGTAATAATTATCATCAGTTAGGTCAGTCAGAAGCTGATTTGCGAGACGATAAAGTGTGGCCATTATAGGAATACTGAAGGCCCATCGCCTATATGTTGGACCATTCACGAACCTAGAAAGGTTTGCAATGCAATTCAGGAAGAAAGTGACACCCTTCAAAAATTTAAGCGATCCACATCACAACCGTAATAATTCACCTTGTACTAGCAAGTGGCTTGTGATCATAAAACCACTCAGCAACAGTTTGATCTTCTTCCGGATCCAACTCCATTTGGATTGGTTCCAAAGGTTCTACATCGAGAATATTGTCTGCATAATCGAGTGGCGGCTCTTCATCATCGAAAGGAGGGAATCGCATGCGCTGAAAAACAAACTTCAATTTTCACTCAGAAAATCAGGCTGCTGTCAGTACGTAATATTTCCGTTAGGCTGCTCTCAAACGTGGCGATGGAAGAATCGGAGAGTAGGAGGATCTGCGATTCGATTCGACGAGTTGCAGGAAAATGCGATTTAAGGAAAGCATGGGTATCGATCTGGAGACTTGGTAGAGTAGGAAAATTGGCTATCCAGTTTTTTGAGAGATCTCGTGTTTTCCGAAATGTCAAATCGCCGATTCTCCTCCTCCCAGAACACTGGCCACCATAATCGAGCGGCGCCCATCCAGTCCTTTAATGCACACTCTCCTAAACTGTCGAATCGCTAGTCTCCCGTCGCTAAATCTCAGCTCAGGCTTAGGTGCATTGACATATTGCGAATGTCGAGAATTTGTACTCAAAAGTTTCAAAGAAGAATATGAGAACTGGAAGTACTTGCGATTCGCTAATGGTGGACGCAATAGAGTCTCATCTAATCACTGACCACCCACAACTCCGTTTCGCTGATACATCACATTAGCAAGCTATGAATGCGATTTTAGGAACTATTACTTGAAAGAACAGAGCGCAGCGAGGTGATTATACCTAATACGCTTCCTTCTGTCAGAAATTTAGAAATGTGCATTTATGAGTCACCGATGTCATATTTTAATGGCTTGAACCAAAATGGGTTGTTTCCCCTGAACTTACAGGTTTCGATGGTTATTTTGCGTCCTTCAATCGCTTGGGGCGTCACTGCGTGGGTGCAAAGTTTTCCCGGTTCCCTAATGATAAAGCTGTACTGACCTTGAAATGGCGACGATCACGTTTTTCTCGCCTCATCATGATCCACATGGTTCCCCATTGTGCCAAATATACAGGCTCAATGACACGAGGCGTCTCATTGACGAAAGAGATTGCTCCGGTAATATGATAAAGAACCTAAAACATTCTCTGGATCCGAGAACTGTTCTTGCTTTGCTTTCACAAGTCTATGTGCTACAAAGGTAAGAAAGAGAAAGAAAACGAACCTTGACGTCTCTGATTTGCTCCCATGGCATAGGCATGTTTTCTAAGAGCTTGAGGACAGCGTGAGGCATGTATTTTAAAGCTCCCAGGTAGACCCTTTTGTCGTGTCGGAATTTACGAGATGTCATATCTCCATGATCACGGATTATCTTCCGTACATGTTCTGCAAAAAAGTTAATAATCAAAAAGAAAATAATATGTGGAGCTGAATACCATAAAGCAACAGCAGCAATACCAACCTGGCGGCATCTCTTCTTTTTGTGTGTCCACTACGCCAAATTTCCTCTTTTCTGCATACCGTTTCGACTGGAGTTGTTTCCATTTTCTAGCCTGAAATATCCACTTTCTACTCACAGCCCTAGATGCTACGAGCTGTAGCTCTCACTACCTTTTCTTCTAGAAGCTGAGCGGCAGTTGGTGGAGGAGGAGGTACCTAAAAAGGACACAGTATGGGGCATGAGCCACCTAGAAACAGCATTAAAAACACAAACCTCTCCAATGTCCATTGGTTCTGCTGCCACATTGCCGTATAGAGGTTCCATACCCTCCATGATACTGAAAACCGTATCTATGATTGTTAACTAACTCTAACTAGCTAACTTTAACTACTATTAAATACGCATCGAGGCGAGGTATTAACACACTCCAAAAGAATTAGATACTTATCGATTGTGAGAATCCGAAATCTGCGGAATATCGTGAGATATAGCGAATCAGGAGCGTTGCTCCAGAAAACGTTCACAGCTTGCGACAGTGAAGAAATGCTTAAATGAATAACTGTAGAATTCACGGTACAGATTAGATATTATCTGCTTCGACAATATTCAGTTCTGCATTTTCAAGTCGTCAATTCTCCACTGTCGCAAGCTAAGAACGCGGACTTTCTGAACTATTTTTGACGTTGGTTACTATAATTCAAAACCTTACCGACGAAGCCAACTCGTTCTTTACCTCATACTCTTGTGACTTAAAAATAGTTTAGTTTCAATGCATACGAGACCGGTAGTACACACGGCATTTTTGGCTATTTATCGCGTTAACTTTTGGCATCAGAGTCTGAGAATGCAGGCAAACATATAAAGGAAAAAACGCAAAAGCAGCGGAACAATAGCAAATAAGTACTGCAGGCAATTTGGAACAGGATTCGGCTCCACGAAGATATAGCAAATGAGCGTAATAAGAGGTATAACGGGGCTGCAAGGATCAAATCGGAAAGAGAAATGTTTGGCGGAATTAAAAGAAGCTCTTTTAGAAATGTCTTGACTCTTTGCCTAAGCCCTTAACCCGTGAAACCTCGCCCAAACTACCCGGATTGGTATGGAGATTGTGAAGTTGAAATCTGACGAAAAGTTCCTCCAATCAACTTTGTGAGGCACATAAAGAGTAGCACATGTTGTAGACAACTTTAATGTGGTTGAATGACGAGAGAAGCTGGAATGTGCTGAATGAAATGAGAGCCATCACAAGACAGCTGAATACAGTCAAAGTAGGTGAATTGAAGGTGAAATAGCAGATTTCCGAAGACACCTTGGTGGGGATTCAAGTCTGATACAAGTTGACATTATACAAACGCACGCAAAGCCAAAACGCGCAACTACAGTGTGCCTCTCAAAATTTTTCGAAAGATTTGGCGCCGAGTGGGCTTGGGCGCGCTGCGTTCGGCGCTGCGTGCATCATGATGAGCTGCGAGGTGGTCCATGGCTGCTCCACGCCACCCATCCTCATTATATTGTCACTAGTGGTGTTACCAGCTATCATAACCACTTTTTTCTGCTCCTCACAGATGATTAGAGGTGATTCGTAACCCAAATAAGGCTTTAATATGAACGCAGTTTGTGCGGAACTGAAAGAACATCGCGCAGGGCGCACCCTCTCGCTTTTATCAAATGTCGAGATCAATATCCTTCCTACGATAAGATATGATATCGTATAATGACTCTGACATGCCTGTATGAAGTCTTGTACGCCCCCAAATCTTGTGCTTTACAACCTTTATTGATTCGAAAATCAATTACGTGACTTACACCTTTGTTTGTTTTTTGGAACACTGAATTTTTTCTTGGTTCACTCCTTTATCGTGAAGCTGTTTTTCCTACCAGAGATATGAGTCCACAGATTGCGTTTTAAACCAAAATATTCATCTTGGATTTACTCATTTTTCATTTTGACGAAAGGTGAGGAAGCCTCAGGTGCTTTTGATCAGTTCAGTCAAGTTTCTTCTTAATACTATTACGTATATGATTTCTGATTCTCAGTCAGCGCAGTATGCTCATAAAAGTTCTCCAGCTCAATAAATTGAATTGTATATTTTGCTGTATCGAAGCCTCGCGGTAATCCAAATCAGGGCACGTTCTGGGAAATTTTGGGAAAGTATGACCCCCGATTCCGTCCTCTGGGCAGACTATCCCCTCCCGTCCTCCAACTTCTCTCAACCAGCTCGTTACTTCTTTTCTGAGATCTCCCAAAAATTTCCCACGTCTTCCCAGAACCGCAAAAAAATTCCACCGTTGAGCGGGGGCGGGGGGGGGCACAATACGGTAACTTCAGTAGGCGAACAACCATGCACCGTACCCCCGGTACCTCCAAAGGAGCACTGCCGCCTAAACCTACACCCGGAAAAACGGCCGGACGAGTTTTACGTCCGCAAGTCGTCCACTTCGTTGTGGGACCACGCGTCCCTTTAACTTCATTTGAATTAGGATACTTCAATAAGAGCGTTTTTTTTTTGCAAGATTATCGCTTTTGTGCGTAATCACAGTTAATATTTTCGAGATCTGCTTCTGCTTAGATTAGGAAACATGAAACCTGAACCGGAAACTTGAACACTTCAAGTGCATCTTTTGTTTTAGGGGTTATATCCCGTGGGGTGCCACCATTTTTAAAAGTTCTGCCACTCAGCGTTGGATTTCGACGCAGGAAGATATCTACATCCTATCTTCGGTATTCTGTGCACAAAACCGCTGTTAGAAGGGCTGTTTGTTAGATGTCTGGCGCGCGAAAATTTCCGTTTGACATGTGGTTTGGAGACACTTTTGACTCGCTCAGTTTTAGAGAGCTCTCGAGGGAAAGAACTGTTGAGTTTAGGAGAACAACAACTAGTCTCTGTTAGATCTAGATTCACTGCAATTCTTCACAGGCCGGAATGGTAAACGAATTCCAGCAAAATATAATCAAAATTTTAAATGCAGCTGTAATGGAGAAGGGTACAGCTGCGTGAAAACGTGAACTACTCCTTCAGGATCATTGGCAGATATTCATGCTTATAACCAGGCCCATTGTAACGCAGTCCACAACATAATAACGCTCTTACTTGTATCCCCACCCCTTCTGCAGAGCAGCCCCGAGTACAAACATGGGAGCCACTCTTGCTCATGCGGAAGCTCCGGAACCAATCCACAAAGCCAAAAGCAGTATGCACTTACCAAAGCACGAAACAGTCATCCACTTTCATGAGCCTTTCGAAGCAGAAGCTGATCTAGAAAATGTTAACTAGGCGCTGTTTATCGACGGGGGGGGCATTTCGTACTATCACTGCTTCCCTTGTTCCGGTTTGCAAATCTCACTTTGGTGAAACTTGTGAACTCTTGTAAGCTGGAGCAGGATCGTCTAGCCACCATCCCAAAACGTGTCAACTCGAGAAAACGCTACCTAGATGGGTCGACACATCTATGGAAAGCAAAATGCCCCCCCCGTCGATAAACTGCGCCTATTAACTATGATTACGCACAAGAGCGGTAATCACAAAAAACCGCTCTTATTGAAGTATCCTAATTCAAATGAAGTTAAAGGGACGCGTGGTCCCACACGAAGTGGACGACTTGCGCCCGTAAAACTCGTCCGGCCGTTTTTCCGGGTGTAGGTTAAGGCGGCAGTCAAATGAGCCCTTAATAAATCTGGATGCACACCAAACACATCATCTCACGACAACAGCGTCGAAATTGCATGACAACGCGCGTATGTGTTGTGGTTGCTATCGCATCGAGCATTTTTTGAACGTTTTGGGCGAAGAATCGATCTGGGAGACTGGAGACACCTACACCATACTTTTCGCTCAAAACGCTAGCATTCCGCTGATAAGATTCAAAACGCCTAGGTCGATAGCTAACGTTCCTTTCGCCCAAAACGCTCGAAACGCTCAAATGCAGACGAGAATTATGAACGCAGCTCACCGCAACCCAGTTCGAGTAGTTTTGCCTTCATTCTCGATTAAATAAAGTCTGTTTAGATTTTAAAAACAACACGACTGCATCGGAATGAAAGTTTTCGCCTTCCAGATTAGTGAACGAATGTTGTTGCACTATGCAGAACTTTTTCTCCACATTTCAGCACCGCTCCTAGAATGCCTAGAGTAGTTCAGGTTTCAACTGCGAGCTTATTCTTGAAGCTGTGAATAGAGCTTGTTGTGGCGGTTCAGTAGCGGTTTTGTAGATTGCAGACGAGACGAATAGTCCCAACCGTTTATCTTGGTTATACAAGCATAGGGTTTGGGGCTACGCCCACGCCTCGAAGAGTTGGATGCGGGGATTAGGGGGAGAGGGTCATGGCCATCGTGGCGATGACAGAGCTGAGTATGGATCTCGTACTCGTACTGTATTTCGTTCAGAAAAAACTATGCTTGTCATCATTCCTCGTATCGCACGAAACCAACAGGAAGCAAGCAGGCAGTGGTAAACACACGACAAGGAGGCTATACTGTCATCAGAACCATGTATAAGAATGTGGATAATTGAAACCACTACTCGAACATGGAAAGAAGCAGGGCATTTATCACGGAATGAATGCGGGACCTGTGAAGGAGAACACATGCAAAACTATGTTGTTCTACTAATCTAATCAATTTCGGGGAAGTCTCGTGACATTTTCATCTGGAAAATGCTTCACTTCAGTAATGTGCAAAGACTCCACTGCAATGTCATGAGAAATTCTGACCCAAACGCGGACTATTTTTGATGAGTGCCGTTGAAACCCAATTATACAAGTACATTTATAAATAGAAAAATGATTTATTGGAGCATCCAACGGACCTATAGTTCTTACGAACACTACTCTATGCAATCGTTCTGATCCCATGCAATCGTTCTAATCCTTTGGACATACTATCATGGCAACGTTCCCCAAGCAATTTCGACGCCGTTGTCTCAGATACCGTGTTTGGTGTGCATCCTGATTTATTTGCGGCTCATTTGGGGGTACGGTGTATGGTTGTTCGCCTACTGAAGTTACCGTTGTGTGCATGTTATTGACTTTGACTGGTAAATCCATTGAAATAGGGCTACTTTGGATAGGAATGATTGAAGCAGTTTACTAGGTGATTAGTGCGAGTGGGGTCATCAGGGCACAGTACTTTCAGCGTGAAAATTCTGAGGCGTGTGAAGTCAACTAGCTAAGAAATGCTGAGTTAAAGTGTGATTGCAGTCTCGATGTCGCGAACTATACCTCGTTCGGTGAACTACACCCTCGCGGTCTACGGACAGCTTGAACTTAGTATCTATGAACATATAAATAACTGTTTCTCTTCACTTCCTCTTCCGCATGCTTTCTGTGGCCGTTG